CGTACGGCTAGTTTTTCAGCCGTTTCATGTCTCACGGTTAACTCCATTGAGACCCTCTTATATTTTACCTTGATTYTTGAACTTCGGAAAAATTTTCCTCTTTCAAATGCGAAAAAAAAAATGCTATGAGCTGGATAGTAATGTTTTTCGCCTGTAAAACTATAACCAACGATGAGGCTTCCAAATTCGCCTTCATTATCCTGTTCAAAAATATAATCACCTTGATACTAAATTTCAAACACCTTAGTTTCATCAATTTATAATAAAGTCATTCAAGGCTGTAATTTTGTGGATTCTCTGTGTTTTTAAATCTCTCACAATCGAGTTCTGCTGATATGGTCTTGTTTTCAGCGAAATACCACATTTCTTGGCAAAAAAATTCACTCAGATTGTTACTTTTGCCCATATTTTGTACAGTATTTTCAATATAGCTTCATTTTCTTGAATCAGGAATAGACAGATAACAAAGCTCGTTTATACAACAGTGAGATGGTTTGCTTTCCATATGGGATGAATAATTATTCAAAATGTTCTGTGTTGCAGTAAATTGCGCATGCTTAATAGTGACTAAACTCAGCAGTTACCCAGTATTTTTTCATTTATCGTCATTTATCTCACTGTATTGTGGTTTGGCCGATCAGAACAATTGGTTCTCTTGCTTATCGTTCCTTCTATAGTTTCACTCTGGGTTGAACTATCCAATTACCAGCAATGAAATTCATCATTTATCTCACTGTAATTCATTTTAATTAGTTTCGATTCCCATACAACACGACCGCTCATGCTGTAACAATAAATAATAAATGATTTTGTGCCGTAAAGGGCTTGAAACGTTGTCAGTTTCTTTATTTTGAGAGCGTGTAGTTATGCCCACCTCGATGCTCCTAATAAAAGTTATTGTGGTTTTGCCGATGAGAACAATTGGTTATTTTGCTTATCGTTCCTGGGTTGAGCTATCTAACTACCAGCAATGCCCAAGACATCATGAGACAATCGGCGAGATGGATTATGGGACTGTTAGTTTACTGCATAGACAGTTTAGATTTTGAATAATTATCTATCCTACTWGGAGAGCAAGGTATCTGGCGCATAAGCGAATGCTGTCAGCTGTATTTCTTTGCTTCGAAACATATTGAAAGTCTATTATGCGATGTTGAAACTGCGACCTTTGCTAGTGTTTTGTTGTTGTCTCACTGGTGGTGACCGTGTTTCTGACTTCACATAGATCAATCACCTGACAAAAAACAACCCATATTGGACAATYAATTCATGCATGAATTATGAATGCATTAAACAAAATACGCAGTCGAGGACTGCATGTGACTCAGGCAAAAGAGAATAAATAATTAGGAACATAGCGATCTAGAGTAGGACATAAGACAGAGTATAATTTGAAGTTYCCCTCTACTAACTCTGGACAATTATTGTTATTATGTAAAATAGGTGTTTCACGCTTTTATGCAAYGATGTTTAGAGTGAACGTACTAAATTCACTCAACAAATATTACTAAGTTACTAAATAGTTTTGATAGAGTGAACGCACTAAATCCGTGAAACAAATACTACTAATTAATACTAAATAGTGCTGATTAACAATAGAAAGCAAAGCACGTACTACGAAAATTATGTTATGAAATTATTTACATTTGGAAAAATTATGGCAATTATATAAAACAATTTGATCAATAAACGAAACAGAGCGTTGAGGTTGGGTTAGGTTAGTTCCTCGAAGGAAAGTTTGCCAGGAGTCTGCCGAAGCGCGGAGTTAAAATCTCATTGCTGTGATTAATAAGTTTGAGTCTCCTGAATGCGATTTTGAGCTCCATTTTTGGGTTTTAAAGAACGYCAGCACTGCTCTTATTTAATAAGCCAACATATCAAAGAATTGTATGTCATTCGTGCGGGATCCCTGCGCTTTCTAGTTTTGGGCTTCCTTTAGCGAATCCATGCCATATATGGGAAAAACACAATGGCCGATTGCTGAAAAGAGTTTTCGCTATAATATCTGCAAGTTTCAGACGATTTCATGTTTAAAAGTCGAGAAAATCGCCAAAAACCAGTCTTTTCGTACTTCCAAATAAGGTAAGATTACCATTATATGGCTGCTAAACGAACGACAACTTTTCTGGGGCAATTCTGAGGCCTTYCCAGAAGGCCTTTCGTCACAATGAAATGTATCCAATTATAGGAGATGAAACATTTTAGAGTTTATTTGACGCTTACTTGCGCAAAATAATCGTTAATTAATCAAAAAATCATGCAGAATGTTAGAATACTCAAACAATCAAAAATTTACCGGTCGCTGTTTTGAATTTCGAATCGAGAACAAGGTCTAACAGACKTCTTATGCAGGGGTATTTTTTCTGGGAGTGAAAAACGAACAACAGAATATTACCCGTCGGTTCCTGAGGATGCCTCAAAAATACCAGGTGGAGCGGCAGCGATAGAACTGCAAGAACTGAATTGAAGACAACGCTTGCCAGACTAACCAAGACACATTATCGAAACAAGTGCAAAAACATCTAAAAAGGCAATATAATGCAACGAAAAGATGAAAAAGCTGCGCAGCAACAGCAATATATTAAAACACTTTCTAAAATATTTAGGATACTACGCGCGCTGTGATTGGTCGAAAACCATGTTCGCTCGCACGCGTCAAAAATTTCTTTTTTACCGCCGTTTGCATTTGTTGTTGTTATCCTTCATTTTCAAKAACAATGAACGAAGAAATGCCTATTTATGATGTCCTCTGGGATGATATCCCAGAAGAGCTATCAAACGTTTTAGAAGCTACAGAAGCTGCAGAAGCTACTTCGAGATTTGCAGAGATAGACGACAGCCACATATCGTATTTCAGAATTCTTTACAATTTTCGTATTCTTTTAATTTTAGAAAAGAAATAAAAGACGAAATTTCGTGTTTGATACTCTGATCAAAACACGCGGGATGTAGGGAGAGCACGAGAGAAGCGTAGGAAACCACGAMGCGGAATTTCGTCTTTTATTTCTTAAGTAAAACACTGCCCATAAATGTCAACAACCAGCCGCTTTCTRAATTGTTAAAAAATGTTAATAATGTAGCCATTAAAGGTTTTTGAGACTAAGATAGACTTTGACTAGATTACGGACTATTTCATAAACATTTCACATTAAGGCAAGTAATATACACCGCAGATGTATACTGATGTACAAAATTTGATCATGACTATTTTTGAATATTAGAAACGACGGTATCTTTTAGAAATTCGAACKCAATTTCGAGTGCGCTACAGCTTGTGCGACAGTACTATGACTAATGTCCACTACAATTTGTATATTACCTAGAATAAAAAGTATGGYAAGGTAGCTAATAAGGGAGTAACGTCAGATATCATGCTTGTATATATTTTCAGAAATAGTAAAATCCATTCCAACGATGGAATGCTCAGAGATACGTCAGTTACTATTTCCAAGAGTTATTATTTCAAAATGTCCTGGGGGAGGACCCTACGGCCTGTTAATGTCAGAACASAACAAGTATGGAAAAATAGAAGCCTGACCTCTAAAATAGGTCAGKATGGCGGACTCTTCGATTCCATGACTTTTATGCTCTTATTCTCTCAAACTCACTCACTTTAGCCGCACACTTTATTAACCCAATGAACATAGTAAAGAACGATGCACGTAAGAACGTTTGACGTCATACCATGAGAAAAGAAACAAGGAAATGGTAAAGATAAAATGGACTCATTATTTGTTGTAATACGAAGATGTAATATACTCATTACCCATTTATTCACTACTGGAAACGTGGCGTCGTGCAAGGCTTGTTTACACAAGGAAATATGGAACATCTCTCGTTTCATCGCTCTTCAATATAGAAATTGGCTCATTGTTCATGTATACTGCCTCAGTCTTGAGTATAATTTTTTCATCTATCTCATCTTCAATGAAATTTACCGTGAGAATGTCAAAGCTTTGTTATGACCTAAGTGCATTTGTCGTTCTGGGGCTAACCAAATCGAAGCAAGGCAGGAAATACCATCCTACTATGATAGAATATTGATATAAGGGAAAAAAAGTTATATAAATACAGATAAAAATCATTGAGTTTACTGATCAAATCCTTAAGACTTTAAGCACAAGATTCCTTCAATTCACTCGATGTGATCAGTCGTGATGTGTACATGCAGGATCCATTGACAGCCCATGAATGTCAACAACCAGTCTGCTTCTGAATTTGTTTAAAAGCGTTACTATAATGTAACCAGTGAAGGGTTGGAGACTTAAGTAGACTGAGACTAGATTACGGAGTAGTTCATAAACATTTCACATACGAATCATGAGCTAAGATAGAAATATGTAAGACAAGTAACATAYACCGCAGATGTTCCTTACGAACAGACTCAACTATATAAGCTTTGTTTATACTTTAGGAAATTATCGGTCTCCACCCAAGCCAACTGATATTGAAGCATAATATAACTGCATGGTTTAATATAAATTTAGTTTATTGAAATAGTTTTCAAAGTTATATTACAAATATTGACAGTAAAATTATAAAAATTGTTTGAAATATATTTTTAGTGTTGCGCAATAGTATATTGCTTTGAAAATATAATTAGTAATATTCTAGTAAAGTCTGTATTTTATACCGCGCGGCGTAGCAGTGGTTAAACTATTACAGTACGCAACCTGCTGTTTTTCTTAGTTATGTCCCGGTCTCGTGACGACTTGTGGCTAAAATAGTATAAATTTATATCTATATAATCTAATAATCTAGCGTAATGGAACCGGACAAGGAATTTCTTCCAYTTGATTCTATAGCAGTAAATAGTACCTGACATTTTTTGACAATAAAAATTGTAAAAAGTAGTTTCGATATTTTTACCAGTATTGCACGAAGGCAGCAGTTTAATTAGAATGTGAKATTTGRGAGAAAGTTCAATGGAAAATTAAGAACGAGCAATCTTGCRTGCATAACTGTAAGATAAAGGCGAATTGAAGCCTCGAAACCCATGAGGTCTAAGTTATATTGCAAATATATTCAAACAGTGTTGTAACGAAGAGATTGTGGAATAAAAGAAAAGGGGAAAAAAAGATAATTAACTAAATATTCGAGTGAAAAAATATTTTTGTTCTTTATCCATGTTTATTAGAAAGATCGACCTCAGGTCAGTAGCTTGCACTAAGAGGCATTTGTTCAGGACAGTAGTCAAAGCTACACCCCATTGGCAAGATACTAGTCAGTCGAGGACGGTATTGGGTCGATAAAGTCGGTAGTTCATTTGGCCATTCGAAGTCGATACGAGACACATGTTTTTGAGGGAATTGTCTTTTCTTTTGTGCTTGAAGCTCTTTATCAACAATTTCTCTACTGGTCTTGGTGGAAACCATGTCATGGAAGCTCATTTGATTGTCGTTACAAATACCAAGCATTCTTTCWCTGTGAACAAAAGGACAATATCAAAATACAGCTTTGTATAATGCACTAGTCAATGGAAACCCCCGATCCCAGGGAAATTTAACGGTGCTAAAATAAGACTTTTCCCCCGGTACTCGGGGGCACATCCTCTGTTAAAATCCCCGCTACCTTGACCCGTCTAGTTTAGTCTATAGTATYATAGTAGATATAGAGTGGTTTTCCGTTAACCATGAAAACACTATTACGTCAAAAAGTTAGTAGTAGTTTGTAATAGACCAATGCTAATAGTCTAGCTTGTATCCGATTGATATAGGTATAAACATATTCATCATAAAAAGTTTTTTTCATTTCAAATTTTAATGGTCATTTTTGTTATGGTAACTAATTAATTAACGTTTAATTTCTTCAAACTAGTCTGTTGTTTGTTAGCTGTTCATTTATAGTTTATATGTCTAAAAGAAATATTGACTAGTCTATTGTTTATTGCTACTAACTAGTTGGTCTATTTCTTTTCATGGTTGACGGAAAACCACTCTAGTAGATAACAAAACAAACATATTTCGATCACACTCAATTTGTCTGTATAAACKTCTGCATACCCACTTGCGTACTACATGCAGTTAATTGGACAAAGTTAATCGCGTGTAATAAGTTCCTTTTTATATTTTTTTTATGCAAGAAAAAAATAAAAAAAATAAAAAAATTAAATAAAATAAACAACTATAAAAACAGGGTTGGATACCAATGCTTTCCAAGCGTATTTSTCAAGATTGCCGACCTCTCAGTAGTTTCCAGACTCATACACGTTCAAACTAGCGTTAAAATTCCCGCTCTTTGCCCCGCTTCGAAAACAGTTCATCAAAATCCCGACTCCCCGGGGCAATCTTGCTGTTAAAAGCACGTTAAGAACGCGCCACGTCCCCRTTCAGTGCCCCGCTAGTCCGCTAGTTCAATTCAATTGTCAAGTTGACTAGTGGATAAAATGCTTTTCATTAAGCTACGTACCCTGCCCCTCCCCCGCTGCGAATCCCAATCTCACTCACCCACTGCGTTTTCGTACAACACTATCAATTCCATGAAGCTCCATTCTCAGCCATGTTTTACACTCTGTTCCTTGTCGACCAAGGGGTACTAAAGGTTCCTGAGGAAGCCATAAGTTCTCRATGTCCTTGTCTTTGAGGACTTCGCCTGTGATGCAGCGAATTTCAGCTCTATCCTCGTTGATTTTGTTTTTTCTTTGGGAAATCAAACAGTCGTCTAGTTCACGAGTGACAGCCTGATTGAATGGAAAATAAAATAACAATYACTTTCCATTTCTCTTCTTTATTATTGTAGACCATATGAAAAAGGRCGTGCCTATCGTAAAACCATACTATGAGTTGTACAATATAGTAGTACTACTCGTTGGAAGAACATATTATAATGAGTAAGATCTGAAAGCTCATTGCTCATACATTTAAGGACCAGAAATTGCCGGTATCTGGAAACGTTTTAGTAAAAATCAGTATTGAGGCCTTAACAGCCTTGTTTTCACGTTTTGCGCACGTGTCAAATGCTCGTAGCTCTGTCGATATCCAACATTAGCGAAAATAAACCCCCTCCATTTTACTAGTTTCGATATACTGTTTCTAAAAGTGTAAACAGATTTTTAAAATCTGGATCTTTTAAGGTGCTTATTCCCAGTCTTCCGCTTGTTTTTCATATGGTCAATGAGATGATGTGAACACTTTATAATTAGGAAGTTATCTAGATAGTACTAGTCTGTCAATGTCGGCATTCCTGATTCGTCAAAATTGACGAGGAAGTAAGAAAAATCTTATTTTATGGAATGTATGCTGTGATTGGCCAATTATATCAACGGCGCGAGTGCACCATCTTTCCTGCTCTTTTTGCGAGCTTACACGTTTGACCTGTTTATACAGGTACTGACAAATCAGGTTGAATCCAGAAGTGGGGATGATTAATTTTTATCGCATTCAAGAGTTTGTCACTTTCATTGATACCTTTAGTGGCGCTGGTCTGTTAGCGTTGAGTTCGAGTGGATCGTATTCCTCTGGAGAAATCACATCAAGAAATACAACACCCTGAAAAATCAAATTGCAATGGAAAATTAGCCACTGACAACTGGGTATAAACTTGTGTGTTGGTGATTAGCATGTTATGAATTCCTTGGAAAGGGAAAAGATGCTTCGTTTTGACTCCAATTCGATTTCTCTTACAGAGCAGGGRCCGATCATTCTATAATGTTTAGTGTTGGTCTTTCTGTTCATTTGAATTATGCAGGTCATGTGAATACAGTCAATTCTCGCCTTACAGACACCCCGCTACAACGGACACCTCGATAGAGCGGATTTCGTATGAGTGGGACACCGTTACCGCACGGTTACCGCACAGTTACCGGACCTGGCCTTCAATTTTGGTGAACCAATGGGTCACTAGAATTTGGTTACAGTACGAGTACGGTAACAGCACAGTACCGTCCGTTTCCCACTCATACGAAATCCGCTCTATTGCGGATGGACAGTAAAATACTGAATCCCCGGCGAAAAATACAAAGAAATGACTGAATAAGTAACTCCCGTTATTACGGACTCTCGCTACTTCGGACACTAAATTATGGTCCCGAGGGTGTCCGTAATAGCGAGAGTTGACTGTACGTACTTTTATATAAATTTAAGCAGGACTTTAGCATTTTCAATATGTTTACCTTTTTGTTACTGTAGTCAAGATAATTATTGTACAAATTTCTTTTTCTTTTCTCAAGATTTTTATAATTTTGGCTATTCATTTCTTTGTCAATTTGGTCCTATAATGAAATAATAATAACACTTATTACAAGACAATATTGACATACACACTGTGCTGGCACCATCACRTCTCTTGTGTGYGCTCAAGACAATGGAAAGAAGGGGATGGTTTTAACTAATTTTTAGAATGCTGCACTCATGGGTCATCAAAAGTGTGTAAATAAGAGAACATTACAATTATTCATATATGTCACAATTTGTTAATTATCTTGTTCGGCTATGCCCAACAAGAGGTCCAGTTTAATTGGAGAGGGCAAAAATAAAATTGAAAATATTGTTGGAGGGACTACTGCACCACAGGTCAACTGTGGCATCCAATAATATTTTAGTTGTCACAGCCAGTGAGACAAGTGATGACATGCCCACCTTGATTGGCGTAAACACCCTTTCACTCCACTTTTTGTGTAGCAAATGCTTTTTTCTTCTATCCAACAATGACTTGTGGTCAAGGTACCTGTCAACATCCTATAATTGGAAAATGTAATTCTACATTAAAAAGCTTCCTCAAAAGGYATTATGTTATGCTTGGGCTCCATGTGTAGTTTAAATAGAAGAGGGTCTCTTTGTAGTTAGCACTGGAGCGTTTACAAATAAAACCCAACAAACACTGATTCCATAAGTTATTTAGTTTAATGCTATCCATTTATGGCTCTTTGTGTTCGAGTATTAGACTATGTCTGATGTGCCTAAAATTGCATATTAAATTATGAAGCACAAGGAAATGGTACGAATGTGTTGGAGTTTAGATWTTATTGTTTTGAATAYACTGAGTAATTTTTTAAGTAATGCTCTCACTGTAACAAAAGACCCCTCATTTTCCAATAGAGTAGTGTACATATTCTTGGTTGCTCTGGATTCAAAGTCTGTCCTTTCCTATAGGRGTAGAAAATRTTTGAGGTTATTGTATAGTTACTTYAGTAAAGAGTTATTGGGCTAATACTAGCCTAGCTGTTCATAATTAAAATTGATCTAACTTACGTACCAAGTTGGCAAGTTAAAGTTTAAAAGTTAGTTTGGAATATGATGTTACTATGGAAACACTTGTCTCGAGTATTAAAAATAACACCACTGTTGATAAAGTTCCAATCAGAATTTTTTTTTTTTKWRAAMACAMARMA